AATAAAATTGTTCCAATAAAATATAAAAGACTACAATTCATGACTAAAAAGCCATGTATAATTGTATGAAATTTAGGCTCATCAGGATCCAAGAGTTGTCCTCGGAGCGAAATAATTACGCAACTCACTTGCCTTTCTTTTTTTACTATTTTCCATGGTAATTGCTATTCCTTTTCCTTTAGCTTGAGATGGTGGAGCGAGAATCTCTTGTAAGTTAGCATCACCAAATGGGTTATCTTCCCATTGACTTTTAGCTTGCTTCTTGATTTCTTCAAATTCTTTCAAACTTTCTTGCATTAAGAAACAAATATCATGAGGCACCCTGTCACATTTTTTTACTTCTCCACCTTTTCCAGTAAGGTGTTGTTTCATTCTATTTATTCCTTCTCCTCTAATAAGTTTTTGGCAATGCAAGCATTGTAATGTTTTGTTTTTTGTGCCTTCAACTTCAACACAATGCTCCCATGCAATATCATTTTTTCCTCTACATGATTGTTGTGATTTTGTGGATGCAGTAGTTGAATTTTGTCTGGAAGATGACATTTTCCTATAATTTACACAAATATAGAAAATTATTAAGAAAACCTCTAACTCTAAGAGTCCAAGTATGATAAATAAGAATTTATTTGAATAGAGATGCTACATTAAAATTTAAAATCAAGGCATAACAGATCAAGGCATAATAGATTAGGAAAAAATAAAATTAAGCATGAAAGCTTGATATTCATAAATAATTTTTCTAAATCTTAAACCAATACTAATTAATAAAGAATTAATTTCTATCAACATGTCACGCCCCAAAACCCAATTTCGAGGCGCGACAAACGCCGTGCACTCTGAGACGGGTCCCACAAATGCACAAGGCTCGAAACTTATCAAATTCACACTCTGATACCATCAAAATCTGAAGATCAAATTATAAAATCTCTTTGATATCATAAATCTCCAATAAAATCTCCAAATACAAGATCATGATTCATATCTAAAATTTATATCCAATTACAATATGGCTAGCCTTCTAACTCATCACTTCCCGTGGTTTCCCCGTTCTCGATTTCACATCCTGAAATGGTGGACAAGGAAAAACTATGAGATAAACTCAGTAAGTAAATATGGAGTGCCCCTTATCAAACTTAAAGCATGCCAACAAGTACAATCACGAAAACAGATACAGTACAGGCACGAAATAGA